TTCATATAATAAATAAAGATAACAAAATTTGACTTCCAATGCAAGAAAAAGAAGCAACATTCATGATAAAAATGGAGTAGTGACAAATAAAGGTCGGGAAGGTAGGGTAATGAATCTTTTATATAACCGACAATAGAAGGGTAACGAAATCATTTGTTGAGTTACACATTAATAAAACCTCTAAATCCCTTAACATACAAAATAAAACAAACCATTATATCTATTCTAAATACCAAACTTCTTTTGCTTTTACTCCCCTTTACTTTTGCCTATTTTTCTAATCCATCTTTTTATGGTTTATTAGTTTTGTAATGAAAGGTATAAGGCTTTGTCACCTCTCCAACTATCTCGCCATTAGGTAGGATTTTAACTCTTCAATCATTTTTAATTTTTAGATTTAGGTAAAGTGCAAATTTGGTCCCTGTAGTTATCAAAAAAATGTGGATGAAGTCCAAAAGGTTTTCAACTTCCACCACTGGTCCAAAATTTGATCTTTTTGTGGATATGGTCCCTATCAAACTTAAAAAGACTATTATACCCTTTTAATTTAGTATTTTTATTTATTTTTATAATTATTTCTTTATTTTAATATTTTGATAAATAGAAAATTAGACAAAAAAAACCTCACTTATCCCCATCCCACCGTACCCTTCTCTCTCTCTCTCTCTCTCTCTCTCTCTCTCTCTCTCTTCTCTATCTCTCTCTCACACACACACACACACCCACCTCATGTACAACGTCTTCTACTAATATCCCCAATTGATGAACAAAACGCATAATAAAATCTTAGAAACGCATTTTCTTCTTCTTCAATTAGATCTACAAACCCAAAGATCGAAGCCCCCTGAACCCAAAAACAAAATTCTGTAAATGTGCCTAATAAAGATATTCAAGAGAGAGAGAAGAATCTTATTGGAGCTTCTTCTTCGAGGCTAGTTCTTGATGGTTAAGGTTTCCTCCAAAAGTTTTACCGGTTCATTGTACAACCACAAAGAAGATAGAGTGAGTTCAACAGAGAAGCATAAAACATACACACTTATTTCAAGTTTTCAGAGGATGACACACACACACACACTCAATCGCCTCTATCATCATACGTTCAATAGGCTTTCTGAAATCTATGTGATTTCCGAGATTGGTCCTATAATGAAGAGATATGCAACGATGGCTTTAACCATAATTATGTTCGATTTTCAGTAAGATGCAGACACCAGAGAAATAAAGATGAAACCTGTAAAATCAAAACTGCAATTCAGTTTTACATTCAATAAGAGAGACCAGAAAGAGACAACAGAGAAGGAGATCAGGGGTTAGGAGCCGTCAAACTCCCTTAAACCATCAACCTGTCATTTCTTTCTTCTTCCCATTGCAACCTAGCTGCCAATGAATTCCCTTTCTCGTTTTTTTCTAATCATGAGCTCTAAATCATAAACGAGTTGCCATCTTTCTTTGATTGTCGTTTGTCTTGAAGATAACTGGGAAGAACCTTGTTCTAGGATCTGGTCAATGGAGGGAAGGGATGTGGAAGAAGATGATGAATGGGTGGAATTTTGAGAAAGAGAGAGAGAGAGAGAGAGAGAGAGAGAGAGAGAGAGACGGTAAGGTGGGGTGGGGTGGGGAGGGGTAGGTGGGATTTTTTTATTTATTCTAATAATAGAAAAACATAAATATATATATATATAAAAAGAAATTACAAGGGCAAATTAGTCTTTTTATGTTTGACAAGGATCATATCCACAAAAATATTTGATTTTGAACCAGTAGTACAAGTTGAAAAGATTTTGGACTCCATCCATATTTTTTTGATAACCACAGGGACCAAATTTACAGTTTAGTCTTTTGTTTTTACTCATTTCCTATTTTTCATTTTCACTCTTTAATCATTTTTAGCTTTTGCCAATTTAAATCCTCCTACTAAGTTTCTATTGCTATTATCCTCATAGTTTAGTAAACACATTTTCAACCCTTCACCTTTTAAAATACCATATTCACCCCTGTATTTGAACTTTAGAAAATATCAATTTCATCTATTTTTATTTTCTAAACTTTTTTTTTCAATAATATGTATAATATGTTTTTCCTACGGTTATCACCCCTCTGATTTTTCTGACATTTCATATGTGTCGGTATAAATTAGAGGTGGTTAATGTTTCGACGTAAATTTAGAACTTTAGTTCGTTTATTTTTAAAAAAAAATTAATGTATCTGTAGGGATATAAATTCGAGTTCGTTTACGTTTATATATATATATATATATTATATATATATATATATATATATATATATATATATATATATATATATATCGTGCTTATGCATGTCATATATAATGCGGTTTTTATTATCTTTGTTTTGGCATGGTTTTGGCCTCAAACTATTGTGGTTTGTCGGATTAAATCGTTCTAAATTCATGTTCCACATGTAGCAACTTACTTCCTACTACTTCTCAAATACATTACTGTCGCCGCAACGCGCAACGTGTAAAATCTTAGTTTTATAGAAAAACAAATTTATAGAAATGGAAAAATATTTAAAAAAAAACATACAAATAAAGATGCAAAAAATAATTTTGAGAAAAACAAATTAATTTTATAAAGTTGATATCATGAAAAAATGTTATAAAAAGACCTTTTAGCATATAAAAATTTACTGAAACTATCCATGTGGTTTGTCAAAATTATGTATTTGTTCCTTGACTTCTGTTTTGCATTCGGACAGTTCCTATAGTTTGATTTTATTACGTTTTTGGTCCCTACTGTACCTAAAAACAATACTAAATGGCCCTTACTAATTCTTTTTTTAATCAATTTATTATTTATTTACTATTTATAAAATAAAAAATGATATGTATACGACTCTCTTTCCCAAGACTAACCCTTCACCTTTTATATCCCTCTCTCTGCTTTCTTCTCTAATGCTTCAGTCGTCGGAATCACC